GAGAGAGAGAGAGAGAGAGAGAGAGAGAGAGAGAGAGAGAGAGAGAGAGAGAGAGAGAGAGAGAGAGAGAGAGAGAGAGGCAGTAGGTATGGAGCAGGCGATCCGGAAGTCTCCTCGGCAAGAGAGAGAGAGAGAGAGAGAGAGAGAGAGAGAGAGAGAGAGAGAGAGAGAGGGCCTGAGACCACTGCAGTAGGTATGGAGCAGGCGATCCGGAAGTCTCCTCGGCAAGAGAGAGAGAGAGAGAGAGAGAGAGAGAGAGAGAGAGAGAGAGAGAGAGAGAGAGAGAGAGAGAGAGAGACAGCCATAGCACCGGATCAAGAAGGACAAGCCAGAGAACCATATATTCCGAGAAAGTAACGTTGGAACATCAATAACAAAGACGTTCAAGGCGAAGTGCGGACGAAAGTGGAGGCCGGACGAAAGTGGAGGCGATCAGCATCGCAACCTCTTTATACAAACCCAATCGACCCACAACGTATCCTTGTACTCCCACTCTGCGCTACGCTTCTTCAAATTCCTATCAACACAACCTAGCAGAGCCTGCGAGCACAAACAGCCTTGGCTTCACTCTGCCCAGTTAAGTTGGGAGACCCTTGGGCACTGCATTGCGTGTCCAGCCAGTTGCAAACAGAGATAGAGAAGGGAGAGAGCAACCGAAGATATAGGGCCTCGCTCCACTATACAACACTCTACATGCATTTGGACGCTTTCTAGACCAGATGCATTCCAAGTGTTGGACTCATCCCAATGCACCTGGTCCACAGAGATGTCCAGATGCATGTAGGGTGTTGTGTAGTGCAGCGAGGCCCATAGAGTGCAGAGCGGCACAGATGGGTCACCGATTGTGGGCCAGGAGAAGTAGCGGAGGAAGATACCAAAGACTACAGTCTTCCCCCGAATACAACGTACGGTCATTATAGCTGAATTTAGGTTATCTTTCAGTCTAAATTCAGCTATAATGACTGTACGTTGTATTCGGGGGAAGACTGTAGGGATATCGCAAGGGCCATTCTTGTTAAAAAAAAAAAAAAAAAAAAAATGGAGGATGGCGGAAAAGTTAGCGTGCCAAGCTCATCGGGCTGCAAAAGCACGTTAGAGATGGGCATTAGGGCCTCGCTCCTTTACTCACCAAATGTGCAAAATGAGCACGAATCTTTCCCTAGAACATGGACAGATACACTGGCATATTGTCTTTTGTGCGTGTGGTGAGTAGTGGAACGAGGCCCTTCCACACCGACCAAGTTGTGTCGCAGCGAATTGTGTTCAAGAAAGAGCAAGGAGAAGGAGGAAGATGACGAGGGGCAAGAAAGCGAAGAAAACACACACACACACACATATATATATATATCGTCACAAACAGAACTGCCCGGTAAACCGTAGGCAGAGAGAGAGAAGAGGACAACAAACGAGGGGCTGTGACAAACTGTTTCGTCGGAGTTTCACCGACTCATCAGGAGGCTGAACCCTCAACAGTCTGCAGAATCCCCTCACTGATTACACTGTAAATGATAAACTACCTTAACCAAAATCAAAGTAGACTATCACTCACCCACACCAGATGGAAAACTCTACAGACTGTCGGTTCACACCCCATCACAAGCCAGCAAAACATCCACGAAACAAAGAAAGGTCTGTCACAGCCAAAAAATACACTCCAGACACGCCGCTGGCACTAGAGGCACAGCATGGCTGCCTAGTAACGGCCCCGACCACTGCCGCTCGACCTGACCGGAAAAAACCGTAGCAGGAAGCTAGCGAAGTCGTAGCATATATCGTCACAAACAGAATATAGATATATATGTAGAGAGAGAGAGAGAGAGAGAGAGAGAGAGAGAGAGAGAGAGAGAGAGAGAGAGAGAGAGAGAGAGAGAGAGAATTCAACATGAATTGCGCATGCAAGCAGTGACCTTTTCCCCGAACCCCCGCACAGTGTGCAGAGACATGCAAATACAACTGGTCCAAAATCTGTTCAAAATACATATGATGCAAAGGAGAAGTTGGCGAGCATCATAACAGAAGTGAGAAAGGGCCTCGCTCCACTACACAACACTCTACATGCATTTGGACAAACTTCTCGACCGGATACATTCAGAATGTCGGAGTTGTCCGAATGTACCTTGTCTCGAGAGCGTCCAAATGCATGCAAGCGTGTTGTGTAGTGGAATTTTATGCGTGAAAACTGCCATGGACGAAGAAGGAAAGGAGAAGGGGAAACTACGGCCCTCGCTCCACTGCAGAACACTCTACATGCATTTGGACGCTCTGTGGACCCGATGCATCCAGAATGTTGGACTCGTCCGGATGCATCTGGTCTACATGTACAGTGTTCTGTAGTGCAGCGAGGCCCTACCTCGGGGTGTGCGCAGGATTCAGCCACATGGGCCAAGTGCCCAGAAAGCTCAGATTTTCCGTCAGCCAGGCCTGCAGCTACGGGGTGACCTCGCGGCTGCGGCACTCGGCCGTTATGCATCTGACGGTTATCATGGCCAAATTCAGGCTGCGAGGCCAGCGTGCTAGGCAATACAGGCTGTGGCCAAAGTTGCGTTGGTCTTTCAGAAAAAAGAAAAACAAAAAGGAAATGTGTGTTGGTCAGCGGTGCAGCGAGGCCTCTTGTCTTTGCCTTATGTGTTGAAATTTCACAACGCCACCTGGGGCTCCACGTAGCTCGCACTTGATTCTCTGTTCCTGGTCAGAAATGCGCAATCCCACTGGCGTTGATCTTCGCAGTACTTATTTACGGTCAGGCCACGGACCTCGCCACGTGTTCTCTTCTTTCGATTTTTTTTTTTTTTTTTTTTTTTTTTTTTTTTTTTTTTTTATTTTTTTATTGGCGAAGCTTCTGGTTTGTTGATGCTCCTTTCGCCACAAATAGATCGGAGCTCTGTTTAAAAAATAAAAATAAAAAATCTTAGGGCCTCGCCACACCAGTGTCGAAACCGTGAAATAGTCCGTCAGACAAAGGGAAGGTGCTTTTTCCTTTTTTGGGGGGGAGGGGCTTTTTGCCCTTTTTTTCGGGGGGGGGGGGGAGGGGCGCTTTTTGCCCTTTTTTCGGTGGGGGGTTGGGAGGCTTTTTTTCCCCCTTTCTTTTTTTTGTGAAGTCCGTGGCCAAGATTCTGACCTTTTTCTGACCTTACGATCCTCGTGATGGACGGTCAGTATCTATTCATCAGTGCTGCCGTCTTCCTTCCCGAACAAAACGCACCCTCATTATGACTGTATATTGTAGACTGGAAAGATAGCCTGTATAGACGGTAGTGGAATCTGGACGTAATTGCTATAGACGGTAATGGAATCTGGACGTAATTGCTATAGACGGTAGTGGAATCTGGACGTAATTGCTCCACTCACCATCCGCCAAGTTTTGAATGCATCTGGGCATAGGACCTGTCCGGGTGCATTCAAGATGTTGTCAGATGTCGAGTGGGGCGGGTAGGTCCCATCCGTCCTTGTGTATGGAATGAATGATGTCTGTGTCCGATGTAGGGTTGGTGCGCAGAACCCGCTACCAAAAGGGGAGGCTCCTGGGTTGCAGCCTTTGTGGTAAGGAAGGGAGAATCTGGACGCGAAACTGGTCAGGTTCTTGCTAACTTAGTGCATGCTGCAGCTGCACAAGCACACTTTCTTCTGGAGTTCTCCCTTGCTTTCTGCAACCTACCGTATCCAACTGGTTTTTCAGCGCATACCCACAGTTGGCCTCGCAGGAGCGGGGGCAGTCTGGACACAGGGCAGGGTGGGGGGCCGGGGGGAGGGGGGCCGGGGGGAGGGGGGCGGTGTTGGGGCCGGCGGGGAAGATAGGGAAAAAAGGAAGGAAAAAAAAAGGGCAGGCAGAGACGTAATCAGCACGAGCTAATGAGGACGAAACATAGGAGCACTGTTTTTTTTTTCTTTTCTTTTTTCTTTTTTAATGCACGTATTATTCCTAGATTTATGTGTGTTGTCCTTGGGTTCATGCTAATCTTCTGTGTATCGTTCCAATTGCTCAGCAGCAGCGGAGAAACTTCACCTGTCGTGCACCTAAAGAGCGCACGGTGATCACCTATCGTTCCAAATATAGCTATACTGACCATGCGTTTTATTTGGAGGCCGACGGGGGTGTGAGTGAAACGGTATTCACCAATTCGTGGTAGCTGAGGTAGATCCCAGGGCTCGATCCCTAGTTCCCCAACTTACCTGTGTACAATACCTGCGTCAACTCGAAGAGTTGAACCTGCGACCTGTAGAACCGCCAGTGGTAGGTAGGTCTGTCGTAGGTCTATAGGTAGCCAGGATTCGATCCGTAGACCTATAGACTAGAAGGCTAGCTGCAGTCCTTCTAGAAGATTGGCAAGTGGTCAAGTGGTGCAGGCAAGTGGGCAAGTGGGGTGACTAAAGCAAGCCCATGTTGGAGAGAGTCTAGAAAGTACCAGTCCGGTCCAGCAAGTACCACGGGGGGAACTGTGTGCACCATGGGCCAGGGACACAAGGCAGACCAATGCAGCACAGAAGTATAAATCAAGAGGCTGCGTCCATTCATTCATTCATTCCTGCGGATGCCATGCGGAAGCGCTGCCTAGCAGCTTGTGCGAGGAGGTCTGCAGAGTGCCCGAAGACGAAGTGGGCAGAGGAGTAGAGTGCAGCGATAGGTAGTGGCAGCTAGCGCTGCCATAGCTGTAGCCTAGCATGTGTGTGTGTGAAGTGTGATACTGAGTGTTGCGTGTGGGACATCCAGGGTGATCCAGAGTGCGAACAGTGAGTTGTGTGGGCGCTCAGAGTCGCCATAGCCAGTTTGAAGAGAACTCTTATGTGGATACGATATCTTGAGTACTGAGTGGGCGCCTGTCGCCAATTTGCTGTTTCGCTGTTTGCATACATGACAAGTTGAATAATCGAGTGTGATTTCATGAGTATGCCCTGATGGTACATACAGTTAGCTTTCCTAGGTGGCCAAGGTCCCACATGCAAGGGTCAATGGCCATAGACGAACGCTCTGGGGAAGTGGAGCCTCGGCCCTGGATGGGGTGCAGTTTCCTGTTTCGTGTTCTTTGCTTTCGTCCTTTTCTCTGGGTGTTGGTGTTCTGCATGTCGCTTGTGTGAGTACTCATCGGGCTGAGGGGTGCGGGGAATGGCATGTTTGTGATTCTTCAGAGGGATGGAAAAAGGCTGCGTCTTCCGAACGAACAGTGAAGAGAAGGCCTCCTCTAGCTTCATTTGTCGCAATGTTGGGCCCAACATGTGTGTGGAGGGAGTAGTCAAGTATAAGCTCTTCTGAGAGCGAAGAGAAAGGACAAGATTCAGAACAGATCAGAGTAGCAGAGGATAAGGCGTGAGGAGGAGGAGGGGGAGAGGAGGAGGAGGAGGAGGAGGAAGAGAAGAGGAGTACCAGAAGCGTGAGGAGGAGGAGGAGGAGGAGGAGGAGGAGGAGGAGGAGGACGAGACGCACGAGGAGGAGCAACAGAAGCAGGAGGAGGAGGAGGAGGAGGAGGAGGAGGAGGAGGAGCAGCAGAAGCAGGACGAGGAGGAAGAGGAGTACCGGAAGCGTGAGGAGGAGGAGGAGGAGTACCGGAAGCAGGAGGAGCAGGAGAAGGAGGAGGAGCATAAGAAGCAGGAAGAGGAGCAGGAGCATCAGCAGCAGGAGGGGGAGGAGGAGGAGGAGGAGCTGCATCAGCACAAGGACTAGGAGGAGGAGGAAGAGAAGCAACAAGAGGAAGAGCAGCGGCAGGAGGAGCAGGACACCGGCAGTCATGATGACATTGAGAACTTCAGCGGTGTCCATGCAAAACGTTGTTTGCCCAGCATCACACAGGCCATCCGAGGGGCCATTATGGCCAAGTGACATGTGGGGCAGCAAGACCAGTCGTGACCTCCTCATTGGAAGCAGCTTTTCTGGTGCCAAAGTCATCTTCTCCAAACTCGATCTGCCGCAGGAGAACTTGCAACGCTGGGGTTTCGCCCCCTCTGCTGCAGGAGCAGCAAACGTGACTGTCATCTGTCTGGACAGGCGAGAGAGGCGATGCTCGGGGTGGTTTACATGTGCTGCGGAGGGAGGGGGTGGCAAAGAAGAGAGACGAGGAGGAGGACGAAGAAGAAGAGGATGGCGAAATAAGGTGTGCAGGTCAGGGTTGATGCTCTTGCTGAGTGATCAGCATGGGAGTAAGACGGTGACACAGCAATGCCATGCACGGTTTGATAAGCCACCATCTAGGTCACCTCCAGGAACCTTAAGGCATGCCATCGGCATGGACACTCTGAGGATGCCACGGGCTTCAACTTTTCGAACTCAGCAAAATACTGTCAATCTGGTGACTATGAAGTTGCAGCGAAGTGCACGTGCGTTGATTCCGAGGGCTCTTGGGGGTTACGCCAAGCTGGACATCATGGCGAGGGGCAGTACCTTTCCGCTCACTTCAAGTCTGATGATGACGAGAGGGATAGGTGCAGCCACTCCAAGCCCACCGTCACCTACTGGTAGGAGAGATGGGCCATCACGACCTACCGTTAGGAGAGAAGCATTGGGTTCGACCCTGATCCCCCCTCCCTTGACTTCGCTGGCATCAGCCAAGTCGAAGTCGTTTTTGGGGCCCGGCGTGGTTTATCCGACTTCAAGGCTAGTTAGACGAACAAGTGGAATACCACACACACAGTCGACCCCCGTGGGTTCGAACCCGGCACCTCTTCTGGGTAGGATTTCCTCTGGTGAGCTTGGTGATTACCCCGATCGGGAGGCCCTGGAATCGGTATCGCATCTCCCTCTGGAGGACTTGATGGCAGCAGCTGCTGCTGTTCGCGACCGGCGCGAAGATGGCCACGTGGTGACCTTCTCTCCCAAAGTGTTCATCCCTTTAACTCGGCTTTGCAGGGACTCGTGCGCCTACTGCACCTTCGCCGTTGATCCTATCGCCGGCACACGTGGATTTATGGAAATGGATGAGGTGCTGGCTGTAGCGAGGGCCGGTGCCGAGGCTGGATGCACCGAAGCACTGTTCACACTGGGCGACAAACCAGAACGGCTTTATCCCGCGGCGAGGGAGGAGCTGGCGGCCATGGGTCACTCCAGCACACTAGGGTACCTCGCCGAGGCTGCTCGGGAGGTTCTCCTGCAAACTGGCCTTCTTCCTCATATCAATGCCGGCGTCATGGGTGAGTCTGACGTGGCTAGCTTGCGCCACGTGTCAGTCAGCCAAGGGTTGATGCTGGAAAGTGCATCACAACGTCTGATGCAGCCTGGTGGTCCCCACCACAAGTGCCCTGACAAGTGGCCTCCCTCTCGAATTGCCACGATCACCGCCGCAGGCCAGCTCCGGGTCCCGTTCACGACAGGCATCCTTGTCGGCATCGGCGAGAGTCGGAACGAGAGGTTGGACGCACTCCTCCTTCTGCGCGATTTGCACCGAAGGTTCGGTCATATTCAGGAGCTCATTGTCCAGAACTTCAAGGCGAAGAAGAACACAAGGATGGAGAACGCACCAGAGCCGGCCGTGGAGGAGCTGCTGTGGGCTGTGGCGATGGCGCGGCTTGCCTTCGGTCCCAGCATGAACATCCAAGCACCGCCGAACCTGACACCCCAGGCTGGCGCCTTCGGCCACGGGAAGGAGGAGGAGGAGGGGGTCGCCGTCGTCGAGGACAGTCAGTGGAAATCTCTCATAGACGCTGGAATCAATGACTGGGGTGGGATTTCCCCCGTGACGATAGATTGGGTCAATCCGGAGGCGCCATGGCCTCACATCGGATCTCTAGCAGAAGAAACAGCCAGAGCGGGAAAGATCCTTCTTCCGAGGTTGCCAGTCTATGCCTCGTTTGTCCAAGATTCGGCCACGTGGCAAGATCCACGTGTTCTGCCTCATGTACTGGCCCTCTCTGACAGCCTCGGCTACAGCCGAGCACAGGTCTGGTCCCCTGGTATGGCGGATGTCCCCCCCCCTCCGTTACTCGTTCCTTCAAGCTCTTCATTGCCAGTTTCAGTAGAATCTGGTCAAAGGGATGGCGGTGGACGCGGTGACGAGTCGCCAGCACTTGGAGGTACTAGAAAGTCTGACGAGAGAAAGTGCGATGTCCGTAATAAGCTGGATGATGTGCAGCTGGTTGACAGAGATGAGAGAGGAGGGGAGGTTTGTCCTCCTCGGTTAGGACACGTGGCAGCAACCGCCATGATTGCAGTGGGATCGGATGGCACTCTGGTGGAAATGGGCAGCAAGGTAGATGCCCTCCGGTCCTGTAAGGCTAGAGGAGGAGGAGGAGGAAGTCTCACCACCCTTTCCTCTCCTCCTCAAGTGGCGGTTATCTTAGACAAAGCGCTGGCTGGTGAAGACCTCAAGGAGGATGAGCTTGTGACCCTCTTCTGCTCCAGGGGCGTCGACTTCTATGCAGTTTGCTCAGCCGCTGATCTGCTTCGATCCCAGATCAACGGCAACCAGGTGACTTACGTGGTCAACCGAAACATCAACTACACGAACATCTGCACGTACAAGTGCGGGTTCTGTGCTTTCAGCAAGGGCAAGCACAGCGACCATCTGAGGGGGGCGCCTTACAGGTTACCTCTGGAGGAGATAACGAGGCGAGCAAGCGAAGCATGGGAGAGAGGGGCGACGGAAGTCTGCATGCAGGGTGGGATTCATCCAGAGTTCACGGGCGAAACGTACGTAGAGATACTGAGAGCAGCGAAGCGAGGGGCTCCCGACATCCACGTGCATGCATTCTCTCCTCTGGAGGTGTTCCAAGGGGCTCGGACCTTGTCCCTGTCCCTACGCGAGTTCCTGTTGCAGCTCAAGGAGGCAGGGCTGGGGTCGCTTCCGGGCACAGCAGCAGAAGTCCTAGACGAGGAGGTACGGAGGGTCATATGTCCCGACAAGCTCACCAGCGACGAGTGGGTGGACGTGGTCGAGACGGCCCATTCCATCGGCTTGCAGACGACCTCCACCATCATGTTTGGACACGTAGACGGTCCAAGGCACTGGGCTCGGCATCTGTTGAAGCTGCGGAGCGTACAGAAACGCACAGGGGGGATCACGGAGTTCGTGCCGCTTCCGTTCGTGCACATGGAAGCCCCACTCTTTCTCAAAGGGATGACGCGCAAGGGTCCCACCATGAGGGAGTGCGTTTTGATGCACGCCGTGGCTCGCCTGGCTTTGCATCCTTATATCAAGAACATACAAGCGTCTTGGGTGAAGATGGGTCCACAGGCAGCAAAGGCACTGCTTAAAATCGGTTGCAATGACATGGGCGGATCACTCATGAACGAGCACATCACTCGAGCTGCAGGCGCAGCTCACGGTCAGGAGCTGTTTCCGACTCAAATGGAGGAACTCATACGATCCGTAGGACGCATTCCACGCCAGAGAACCACACTCTACGGCAATGCAGACCCGATTCAGAACCACAGGTCACTCACAGCGGCCCCTCTGAGGCCAGTTTAGGACCACCACCTTATCGTGTACCGTGGCTTCACCCGCGCCATGCCAAGGGCCCACGGGGGCAACGTGGGCAGGAAGGGAACGGGGAGATGCATCAAAGAGTAGGAGGAACAGGAACGGGAGGAGGGGTGTGTGTGTGTGTGTGTGTGTGTGTGTACGTGTTTTTTCTCTGTGCTTGTGTATGTACATATATGTATATATATATAGGGT